ATTGAGAAAATAAGCATACTTGATTTCAAAGCAACGTATGAAATTGAAATTATAGCTCACTTCTGATGCATTGGTCAAAGTTGCGTCTCTGTGTTTTTTTATAGGATTGTTAGTCCTTTGAACTCATAATTGTAAGGCTCACGAATAAGAAAATTAAATGCCCCTGCAGATTGAGAAAATAAGCATACTTGATTTCAAAGCAACGTATGAAATTGAAATTATAACTCACTTCTGATGCATTGGTCAAAGTTGTCTCTCTGTTTTTTTTATAGGATTGTTAGTCCTTTGAACTCATAATTGTAAGGTAAATTTTAGATCTATGTAATTAATCACAAACTATACTAGTTATTTAAATTTGAATGTTTTGTTGACTCATGAGAGTCTAGCTCATGACGTCAGAGTTTACATCTATGCCATTATTGAACCACTTGTGACCCTTAAACACTGAGCCACCCGTGCAGGTTAAAGCTGTTAATCTCAATAACTTGAACATCATCATTGAACCTTATACAGTAGGTTTTATCAACTTCCATAAAATGCCTACCTCAACATTTTTCTGTTGCTAGAAAACTGAACTCAAATCAAGCGCAAACTGCTGATGAAAAGTTAGGCTCTTTTGCATGCTTACATCTTTACATGTAAGTGTTCAAGAATAGTCCCGTTCATTTGCATCTTTACTTACCATACTTTCTTAGATATATACAAACTTGCTTCACTTCGTAAATATGGAGTCCAGATGGATTCAGAAATGGAGAAATCAAAAGTTATTATTATTATTATTATTATTATGTATGTTTGTAAAGGAGATTTCCTTTTTCATGTTTGTAAAAGAAAATGGTAATTTTAAACCAAAAGTTTAATGGGTCATTTTTTAAAATCCAACCTAAAACATCCTCTTTTATTAATAGAAGTCAATTTCTATGTTAAAAGATAATTAAGTTACTAAAGTTCTTAATAATAGGATAATTTACAGTGATACCCCTTGAGATTTGAGTTTATTACAAACAGATACAACTTGATCCTTTTTTAAACATGACATCCCTCAGATTTAATAAAGTTAACAAATACATCCCCAATGATATTATTGCCCTTTGACCAATTAGTTAACCTATTTAAATATTGAAATTAACTTTTTAACCTTTACAAGTTATTTTATTGAACCAAACTAACATTCTCCAACAACTTATTCTCTCATCAATTAATAGGGCAAATTACATAAACCACCCCCTCAAGTTTTCAATTCATACATCAAGATAGAATGTGGACCAATATTTTGGTCAACAACCCTTATAATTTCGCTGACCAAAATATATGATATGGGTGTTGGCTTCAAACTAAAATTTCAATAAACAAAAATCATATGGGTGTAACAATTTTTTATTTATTAATACAAATTCTTAAATTCAAAACATATGATATAGGGTTCCAAATGTTTAAATTATGAATTAAAGTTATTCTAATCATCTTATATTATAGCGGACTAAGCTAATTTAGGAGATCTCTAAATAGTCTAGTTGACTAATATATACTTGCTCCCATTCTTCTACAGTTCTAAAAGAAAATTAAGTCAAATTATTTTTCTTCCTTAAATTTCAATTATTTGTTGTTGATGTTATTTTAATATCATATTTTGTTTTTATATTTTTTTTCTACTTTTTTCCAGTATTTTCATCTTTAATAATTTAAGACCATTCTTTTATTTTATCTATATTTTTAGAAACATATGTGTGTGTGTGTGTGTGCGCGTGTATATATATATATATATGTGGTTCAACTTATTCTTTCAGCTTTTGTATTTTAATCTTGTGGCTCTGCTGGCTAGTGGGGATGTGTTGGCTTTAGTTTTGTTCTCTGTAATCGGAAGTTTCAGTCATGGTGGTAAATTGGATATCTCTCTCTCTATATATATAATACAGCAGTGGACTGGGTGTGGACGGCGATGGTGGGAGGTGGTTCCCTCGAGACTTGCTCACTAATCTAGAAATCAACTTCAATCTAGTTGGCTATGGTTTTGAATCTAGTTTTTTTTTTTTTTTTTTTTTTTTTTTTTTGTGACAATGCATTAATCTGGATCTATCATTGTCTTCAAAAATTACTTATATATATATATATATATATATATATATATATATATATATATATTAGATGTATATGTATATATTAGATGTATATGCATAGATCTACATCCTATGGGTGAGAGGAGGTAGAAAAGAGAAGGAGACAGTCTTTTCCCACCAACCAAAATGAGCTGCAAAGGGAAAATGGTTTTATGCATTAGGTGGGGCAAAAATGTAACTTACCAATACCAAACTCATTCTCAATTTTTCTCTTATTTAGCCTAAGGTCATATAGGTAAATTTATGTTGATTCACTAAGGTCAATTACTCAACTAGGACCTTCCTATTATATCTCGGCTACTACTTCTATCTTAATGTATGAATTGAAAATCTGAGGAGTGGTTTATGCAATTTGTCCTAAATAATAAGTTATGATGAAAATATAGTACTGTGATTAGGGCATGTAGACAAAGAGGAGAGGTAGCTCAAGACGGTTTGGCAGATAAAAAATTCACCAACAGATGGAGATGGTAGGTGGTGGTGAACGTGAATTTGGAAATGTAAATTCCCAACACGTTAGTATTAAGTTACATATGAATTATATTACTTTCAAAACATTAATTATTGAACTTGTTAGATTTTTGTCATTGTTCTATATGAATATCTGATCTCTTCTCTTAAATTTAGTGTTTTTCAATTGTTCTTTATTATTTTACTTCCGAAATGTAAATTTTGGAAATACGGATCCTCTCATGAGAGTATCTCTTTCCTCTCTCTCTCCTCAACCTCTTTCTCTCTATAAATATTAGATACACGACCAAAATTTTCGCTTCCCTTTTAATAATTTCTGTACATACCCAAATTTCGCTTGCCGAAATATGCTGCCGGGTTATTCTTGTGCTTGCTGTTTAAGATAATATATTTATAAAAATAACATACATATATATATATATATAAAAGAAAAAATATGATTAATTCTGGAAACAAAAATAATAATAATAAATAATAAATGGAGTCGACAACGATGTCTTCGACGAGATCAGACAATGTTGATGAACTTCCTCAGCCAAAAAAAAAAATTAAAAAAAAACTTCCTCACACCTCTTAAACATGTCTCCTTACTGTTACTGTCATTAATGATGTTCCTGAACGAATTGAAGATGGTTTTCCTCGTGCAGAGAGTGATCTAAGATTCTCATCTACCTTTTCATTATTTATTTTGTTTCCAGAATTAATCATTTTTTTTTTCTTTTATATATATATATTTGTGTATTATTATCTTTATAAATATATCATCAAGCACAATAAGAACCCCGGCGGCGGATTCCGAATGCGAAATTTGGGTACATATGGAAGTTATTAAAAAGAGAAGATAAAAATTTGGTCTTATATCTAAGATTTAGAGAGGAAAAGAGGTTAAGGAGAGAGAGAAAGAGGGAGATAGAAATGTGACAAATGACGTGCTTTAATGAATGACTGTCTTAATATTAGCACACATGAATAATAAAGAACGATTGAAAAATACTAAATTTAAGAGGAGATCTAGAATGTCACTGGTAAAAAAAAAAAAAAAAAGACAAGTGAAAGGAACCATTTTTATGGTTTTAACATTCCAGACAATTTTTATTTTTATTTTCATTTTTTTTTCGAAAATAAAAAATAAAAAATCTAAACAAATTAATAATATTAATGTGAATCATGCGCAATTGAATAGTGGGTGTACTAGGTTGGATTAGCAATGCAAGAGCCTGCTTTTGATGTTTTGCCTTTAATGGAGAGCTTCCCTACTGATCCTTTTTGTATATATTCATCATTGGATCTTCTTGTGCCATGTCCCCTTTCATAATTCAAGGTAATATATTGTATGCATAAATTTCTTTGTGTAATAAATAAATTTTATTGTTGCTGGATGGAGATTGTTGGGTTAATTAGAAAAAAAAACAAAGCATCCTTTGTATTTGAGCCCAATGGACCAATTAATGAACGGCCGGTAACGTGGGAATTGGTCTATTGACTTATTGTTTTGAGCCGAAGTGGACTACTGAATACTACAAGACTATTCTCCCTAGTGTTATCTTTAGGTTGCCAGAAAGAAAAAAATACTACAAGACAAAATTACCACACTAAATTTATGGTGGTGGGGAATCAAGTCTACCCCACTGTTTAAAAACTTGAACCAAGTCTGTACCTATTACTTGTCAAGACGTAATGCTTTCACTGTGATAGGGCCACCTCAACGTGTAATGTCCCCTTTCATAATTCAAGGTAATATATTGTATGCATAAATTTCTTTGTGTAATAAATAAATTTTATTGTTGCTGGATGGAGATTGTTGGGTTAATTAGAAAAAAAAACAAAGCATCCTTTGTATTTGAGCCCAATGGACCAATTAATGAACGGCCGGTAACGTGGGAATTGGTCTATTGACTTATTGTTTTGAGCCAAAGTGGACTACTGAATACTACAAGACTATTCTCCCTAGTGTTATCTTTAGGTTGCCAGAAAGAAAAAAATACTACAAGACAAAATTACCACACTAAATTTATGGTGGTGGGGAATCAAGTCTACCCCACTGTTTAAAAACTTGAACCAAGTCTGTACCTATTACTTGTCAAGACGTAATGCTTTCACTGTGATAGGGCCACCTCAACGTGTCGGTTGATAAATAATTTGCGCATTTACAATTATACCTATTACTTTTTTCAACCGAACTCGCAGCTCTCTCGTTGCTGTCGCGGGCCATCTTGCTTACTTGAAGTGGGAGGCCTGAATACCTCCGGACACGTTACGGTCAAGTCACCTTGTCTACTTGGAGCAGACAGACCTGAACACTTCATAGGCTGGATGCTTGATGCGTGACACCGAATTAATGATTGAATTAAGCTATTAAATAGTGCGAACTATCAACCCATACATACCCAATTATTTTTCCATCCGAATTGGACGACAAGACCCTCTAACAATAGTTTACTTGATCAACCAACCACGGCTATCCTAGCAGGAATTGCTGACTTTAAACATGCATGCATCCTCTGTATATGCTAGTAAAATTAAGGTAATTGATAACAATACAATTACACTGCAAAAAGCCAGTTCTTGTTAGTACTGCAAGTCATGGCTAAAACTATTGCAAGTGAAGCAACCAATCTCTTCTTTCCTATAGCACTCCTCTTACCCATCATCTTTCTCATCCTAAAGCATTTCAAATCTTATTTCCTATCAAAAACTACCCTACCACTTCCACCAGGACCAAGTCCATGGCCAATATTAGGCAATGTTCTCGAAATGGGAAAAAAGCCTCACATCTCTCTAGCAAACCTTGCTCAGTCATATGGTCCAATCATGTCACTGAGACTAGGAACTGGAACCATGATCATCGGATCATCGAGAACTGCTGCAGAGGAAATTCTCAAGACCCATGATCGTATGTTGTCTGGACGACATGTTCCTCATTCAGTACCAGCTAAGTTCTCAAAATTAAATGATGCATCTGTTGGGTGGGCAGTGGAGTGCAATGATAGATGGAAGAATCTAAGAACAATATGCCGAACTGAGCTCTTCTCGGCCAAGGCAATGGAGTCTCAAGCATGTTCGAGAGAAAAAAAGGTGTTGGACATGGTGCAGTTTTTGAGTGCAAAAGAGGGAAATGAAGTGAAAATTGGCGAAGTGGCTTTTGCCACTGTGTTTAACATATTGAGTAATCTTCTATTATCGAGTGATTTTATGAGCTTTGAGAAGGAGATTGTGGATAAAGGGATGAAGGCTCTTTTGGCAAAATATGTTGAGCTGATTGGAGCTCTAAATGTGTCCGACTTGTATCCAATTTTAGGTGCATTAGATCTTCAGGGTATAAACAAGAAGACAATGGAAGTGTTTATGAGCGTCTGTTCCATGTGGGAGCCCATTATCAAAGACAGAAGAGAAGGAAGAAGCAGAGGCAATGCTTCAAGCCAAACGGACTTCTTGGACGCCCTCATTGACATTTCTTGCACCAATGAACAAATCAATTATCTGCTCCTGGTTTGCTCTCTTTTCTCCTCTCTCTCTCTCTCTATATATATGCATTTATTTATGCACAATCAATTATTCACACGTATGATGCGTCATTGTCACAGGAGCTATTCGCTGCTGGTACAGACTCTAGTACCAATGCTATTGAGTGGGCGATGGCAGAACTGATAAAAAGTCCAGAATCCATGAAGAAAGTCCGCGAAGAAATGACGAGAGAAATCAAACAAGATGTGCTAAAAGAATCACATCTACCTCAGCTACATTACCTACAAGCCGTTTTCAAAGAAACTCTAAGGCTGCACCCTCCAGCACCACTTCTGATTCCTCGCCGTGCACCTGACTCGTACAAAGTGATGAATTACTCCATTCCTAAGAATTCTCAAGTAGTAGTAAACGTTTGGGCGATTGGGCGAGACCCCATGTATTGGGACGATCCATTGAAATTTAAGCCAGAGAGGTTCCTCAACTCGACTTTGGATTTCAAAGGGCATGATCTTGAGTTCTTACCCTTCGGTGCAGGAAGAAGAATCTGCCCTGCCTTACCCTTGGCAGCAAAGTTTGTTCCTTTCGTACTTGCTTCATTGATTCATACTTTTGATTGGTCACTTCCACATGGAAATGATCACAATGAGCTAGACATGAATGAAAAGATTTCTCTGTTATTGGTGAAGGAAATACCCTTGGTCCTCATTCCCACACTTAGGAAATAAGCAACGGATTGCTAGCTCCAATCTACCTTATCTTCCTAGCTATCATATACTACTATTACAATAATCACACTTGTTTGTGTTCATCAAAGATATGGCTCATTACATCAGTTTTCAACTATGAAAGCTTAAGTTTATTTCAATACATACTTCTTGTATCAATAAAAGATATATCATATGATCACTAGCATCAATGGTACTTTTGTGTGTTCATCAGGAAACTAAGCTCATGAGCAATTGTTTATCTCAGTTCAAATTTCAAGTGGTGAGTTTAAAAAAATCGTGTCTTAGAAGGTCAATTTGTATGCACTTGGTTGATCTGTGATGTTTCCAATTTTCCCATTTTTCATTTTTTGGAATTTTGTTGCCGTGAGGGTATTTCTGTCTTTTCACATTTTTCGTACGGGATTTTAGTTGGGTCCATTTGCATTTCACACATTTTATTTTAGTAGCAAAATTCACATGCGATGCAAGTGGTGAATTAATTATGATTTTTTTTTTTTTTTTTTTTTTTTTTTTTTTTTTTTGCACACACTAAAATCAAATTGAAATATACTTAAATCCTGAAATAAACACCATTACAAAATATTTGAAGTATAAAATCGAAATTGAACTCAATTTATACAATCATAATTTACACAAATCCATGTAATACAATGATATACTATGATTTCAATTCGAATAAACAATTAAAGAAAATACAAAAAAAAAAAAATTATTAATAAATACAAACATATGTATATTGAGTATTTTCGAACTGATTATAACTAACTTATTAAATATGATTATATAAATAACAAATGCAATGGGATTGAATATGGTTCACACCATGCACTAAAAAAATATTTTATTTTACAAATACTAAAATCAAATTGAAACACACTTAAATCCTCAAAAACTACCATCATGAAATATTTAAACTATAAGCTCCGAAATAAACTCAATCGATTCAATCAAAATTTACACAAACGCATACAATACAATGATGTTTTGATTTCAATTCATATAGACAATTAAAATGCGTATAAATAATTAAATTTTTAAAAAATACAATTATATATAAATTTAGTACCTTTAGAGTTGATTATAGCTGACTTCATGTTGATGGGTTAACTTGAATCCTTTGGTTGAGACTAATCCATTTGAACGTTATTCACATTCAATGTAAGTAAGGTTATATTCAACCATAAATGAAAAAATATTGAATGGAACCTAACTTTTTAAAGGCTTACCGAGATAATTGGATAATTAATTTATTCAGTTCTTAAAAAAATTAATCTGTAGCAAACAAGTATCAAAAATTCGATAATGAATTGAAAAGGCAAACACCATTCACTTGCATGACCAATATTTTTTCATAAACAATATCATATGAATAATTTTTTAAAAGACACTAACTGATAAAAGAAAAAAATGAAGAGTTTTAATAAATAACATATATAAAAAATGACTTGAATTAAGGGTAAGGTTACCTAATATTGATGTCATAGTTGGAGAGTTCTTCAAGAATATCCTGCAACAAATAAAATTTTATTTTCTTCAATTCCTTGTTTTAGGTAACAAAACTTCCAATTTTATTGGTTGGTTAGAGATCCAAATGAATCTATATATGTGCATTTTTTAAATCATATACCCAGTTTTTTATGGAGGAAGAATATGTACTCTGGGCAAAAGTGATGGGAGGTAGCTTGTTTTTGCCAAAAGAAAAAGGAAAAGAAATGAGAGATTTTATTTTAGTACTAATACATGAACATGTACAAATGTTCTTAAGCTAATGAAAACGAATATCAGATATATATATATAGCATTCTTCTTCCATTTTTCATATTCCAAATGAGGATGCCAAATACATTACTCCCATTGCTATAGAAGGCAGTAATGCATCATCTATATATATATATATAGCATTCTTCTTCCATTTTTCATATTCCAAATGAGGATGCCAAATACATTACTCCCATTGCTATAGGAGGCAGTAATGCATCATCTAACCCCAACTAAACAAAAAGATGAAGATTCTGGTAAATCACAAGACATACCTTGCAACAATGAACCATCACATAATTTAAGAAAAATAAATGTTAGAAAACTCTGTAGACAATGAACCATCACATAATTTAAAAATACTATTAATAATATTTTTTAAAATTAAAAATAGTATAAAAATGTATTGAAATAATTAACTTTTTACATTTTTATAAGTATTATAGATAGATAAGAATATTATATTGAAAATATAAGTGACTATGAAACTGAAGTTGGGTGGACGTCTGTTTTAAAAACAAAAATAGTAGTCGCTTCTCAGCCTTTTTAGTTTTTAATTTTAAAAACAAAAATGGTAATTTATTTTTCCATTTACATTTTTTTTTTCCTTTTTTGTTTTAACCTTTCTGGAGCCATTATAAACCATTATATATAGTTGATATATATGTTAATAAATTTTCTAAATTTAAAAAAAAAAAATTGGAGATAGAGAAATTTTTTGAAGTTGGGTGGACTGTGTTTTAAAAACAAAAAATGGTACAATTTGTTCTTTCCCTTTTATGTTTTCTTTTTCTTTTTGTTGTGTGTGTGTCTGTGTTTTTTTTTTTTTTTTTTTTTTTTTTTTTTTTTTTGGAATAATGTGAATTAGGCTCTAGAATTTTTTGGGAGGAAATTTTTGGGAAGGAACGGGTTTGTTTTTAAATAGTGGAAATATTATAATTTTTTTTTCCATGTAAGTTTTTTTTTCTTTTCTTTTTTATAGTGAAGAATATAAAGAATAAAAAGTATAATTAATTTGATTTAAAAATACTTTTAATATTCTTTTAATATAAAAATTATGGTTTAAATATATACATGTTGAAGAATCTGAACAATCCAATAGAGTAATTAATTGGATTAAAAAACATGTTCTTTTGGTCTTCCTCAACCTTTTTTTTTATAAAATATTAGGTCATATATAATATATACATTTATATATCGTTATCTATCTCTCAATAGGACTCAAGTGTTGTATTTACATATAATAAAAATAAAATTTAAAAAAATTATAACTTTATATGGAGAGAGTTGTCCTACCCAAAGAAAAATAAATTCTTAAACTATCACAAGCAGAAGAAATCCAATATTACCAACTTAACCATAACTTTAAACTAATTTATAGATAAAAAATACTATAAACTCCGATATTTTGTTCACAATTCATCCTCATCACAAAAGAATCGGAAATTGTGTCATACAAAAGATTTACATTGTGGAGTCACCCAATTTTTGTTTGCCATTTATATCGCTATAAATAAGGATCTCCACTTGCTCGCATCTACAAAATCAATTAAAAATCTTCTTATTCCAAAACACATAAATTCCAAAATATCAAATTTTGTACAAAATTCAGTATATGTACATGTATATACCTACCCCTGTAATCTTTACTTCATAAAAATTATTGACAATAATATCTTCATAAAATATATTGTGTCACATATGTGCGCCCTATATATACACACATACACAAGATAACATATACATGCATACATAGATATCTATATTATAGAAGAAAAATAAAAGAAATTGGTGAAAGTAAGCTTACAGTTTACTTACCAGAATAAAGTTGACAATAATATCTTCATAGAATATCTTGTGTCGTATTTATGCGCCCTATATACACACACACACACAAAGATAACATAGACATGTATATATAGATATCTACATAATATAGAAAAAATTTAAAAGAAATACAAAGATAACATAGGCATGCATACATAGATATCTACATAATATATATAGAAGAAAAAAAGAAAAAAAATTGGTGGAAGTAAGCTTACGATTTCATTACCAGAACGAAGTTTTTCTCATACCCAGGCCTTTCTCAAGCAGTATCGTCTTCTTTATAAAAGTAGGAAAAAATAATAATTATGCAAGTGAGAAATTCGAACGGAAAATGAGAGCAAATATATTCTTATGCATGTATGTGTAACACAATTTATTAAAATTAAATAGAAAGATGGAAAGTCAAGAGTTGTAACTCTTGAAATAAATACAAGATATTTTTTTATTTGAAATAAATAAAAATGTATAAATGTTATATATAGAGAGAGAGAAAGATATTCGTGTTTAAGTGTAAGACAATTTATAAAAATTAAATAGAGAGATGGAAAGTCAAGTAACTCTTGAAATAAATGCAAGATTTTTTTGATATAAAAAAAATGTAAAAATGTTAAGAAATTCACAAAATGGCTTACACTTTTAGAATAAAATTAAGATAAGATATATATTAAGAAGAAATTTAATAAAGGTAATTTACCTTTAAAATGTATTAATTCTTGATTTTAATAAATATAAAATAGACTTGTGATTTAGGAAAAAAATTAATAAAGTTAATTTAGTTTTTAAAGGTATTACCTTTTTGTTTTAATTCATATAAAATAATTTATAATTAATGAAAATGTATCTAAATAATTGTAGAAAAAAATGCTTACATATAAGTAGTATTAATGCTGGACGGGGCAACTCAAATGACATAACTGTTGAATGATTAAAAGATTTTAATGTAAAGTATTTAATAAAAATTATTTTGTATTTTTTAAAAATCTAAAAATGCTAATAAATTATCTACACTTTTAGAATAGTATCCTTTAAAATGTATTAATTCTTGATTTTAATAAATATAAAATAGACTTGTGATTTAGGAAAGAAATTAATAAAGGTAATTTAGTTTTTAAAGGTATTACCTTTTTGTTTTAATTCATATAAAATAATTTATAATTAATGAAAATGTACTCAAATGACATAAGTGTTGAATGATTAAAAGATTTTAATGTAAGGTATTTAATAAAAATTATTTTGTATTTTTTTAAAATAAAAAAATGTTAAGAAATTAGCTACACTTTTAGAATAGTATAGATGTGAATTAAGTGGCATTTACTTGGTGGTGCATGTATTTAAATGTGTGGTGTAATTTTGAGGAAAAAAAAAAAAAAAAAAAAAAAAAGAAAAAAAAAAGAAAAGAAAAGAAAATTGGTGGAACCCACCACTACCACATACGTGGTCTAGAGACCACACATGGTCTCTCGTCCTTTCTCTCTCCCTCTAGTTTTCTTTCTCACTCTCATTTCTCTTCATTTTTCTTTTCTCTTGGAAGCAAACTTCAAGCTTTGATTCCTCTCTCTGTACTTGGAAATTTTAAGTGTCGTTTGAGGTAAAACGGAGAGCACGACGAGCTCTACGCGTGAATACCAACAATTTCAGCTTTGAGTCTCCTTAGGGATTTCGAAATTGGAAACCCATTTTAAGGGTTTTGCATCAATTTGAGGTAGGGGTTCTTAATTCATGTTTTTCTTGCTCCTTAGTGAATCATATCTCATAAAGTGTTGCAAGTATGCTTAATTTGAATGGTAATTATCTTAAAGATCTTCTACATGTTGTTTAGAAAATGCATGATTATGAATATGGGTTGTTTGGTGTGAAAAGCATGCTTAGATGTTGATTTGTTATGTGTATTCTGTTAATACATTACTCTAGATGATGAATATGGAATATGCTTAATTGTGTAGTATAATTTCTCTAAATTCTATGACATTTAAAGCATGGGACATATACATGTGCATATCATTGGGTTTTTCATGAAGGAAATTGTTTTGAAATGAAAAAGGGAATTTTAGGGGAAATGTTTTGATGAATTGATTTTATAAAAACCCGGTCGCCACGGGGGTACCAAAAGGCCGGAGGGTTAATATAGCTTAGAGGGAATTAGGGAGATTGCCCTAGCGTGGTTGAGCTAGTTGGGCCCAAAATGACGCCGCAGGGGTATCAAGGGTCAGGGACACTAGTGTGATACCCCTCGATTCTAGAGCCACGGGTGATCAAGTCTGAGCACAGATCCGAAGGATACCAACTGTCAATATGTAAACAAGCAGGAATAAAAACTGAATTAAGAATAAAATAATAATACGCTAAAAGAAATCTAAAATAAAAATCCTCAAACTTTAAATAATAAATTAATATCATTTAAATCCTTCCAATCCGTACAACTCGGGAATCCATCTAGTGGACCCTTAATAATCCCCAAACAATAATTAAAATTACAGAATGTAAATACAAAGCTAAAAAGGAAGAATATCCTATGTAGTCAGAAGAGTGGGTGTCTGTATCTGCATCAACACGATCAAGCTCTACGCCTGGTACTGACGAGTACCTGAAAAATAGGAGTGGGTCAGGCCCACATGCAAGTTCCATTATATCACAATCCGTACATAAATCCGATACGCAGATACATCCTAGATAGCTCGATAATATCTAAAATAGTCCATATAGATATAGATACACACTATAAGATATTCACTAACCTATAGTCATCACACCTGAGTAGAAGGTAACACGCAAAACGCCGTAGCGTAGTCATGCACACCTAGACCTACCAGGGAATGCCATTAGGTCTAGTTATCCATCCAAGCGATATACGCACCTTAACCGTGATCAGGAGACTCAAGCTCGTACCACGGTACCATAAGTACATATATAATTTCCTTCCTAGTGTAGAAAAATAAAATAAATATCCATTATATCGTTCAACTGTTTTAGTTGACAAGACATGCATCCATGTAGGATTTAACTGTTTTAGTTAATCCATTCCGTATGTATGAATGGGTAGGGATTAGCGTTTTGATCTAATCCATCCCTCTGTATGCCACCGTCCTATACCGGTATCATGCAAATGATCCGTAAATGATGCAATATTTTTTAAGTAGTTCATCACATAAAATCCACATAATCCAAATAGTTGATAAATACAGAATTTAAACAGTTCATCAACTAAAAATCCAGAATCCATCCATGTACTAACGAGACAAAGTTTAATAAATCATCAAGCTAAAATCCAGCATCCATCCAGTTAATTGACAGAAAATATATATATAATTCTCCAATTAATTCCAGGCCACATTCAATAGTACTAGTTCAGCAATTTAAATCCAAACCCTAATCCAAATAATTGCAGTGTAATGCTTAATATTAGAGCAATTAAAATTCCAAGCTTAAATCCCTGCATTGTAGAAAAGAATTTAGTATTTCAACCACTAACATCCAATTATGCATAGACCAAACTTGTTAATTAAATGATCCTAGCATACAACCAAAACAAGATTTATAAATATATACATATTCCATTAAATTGCTAAAATTAAATTAGGCAATTTAACTCCTTCCATCCGTTAACCGCCTGTATCGTTATATACTTTCCTACGGTTAAATCCATGAGTACTAAGACCTTAATTTATTAAAGGTGGCTCTAATATAGCATGGTATAATGTTTGGGATCCATGTTCCAACCCTCTTTAATTGCTAGACACAGTTTGCACAATTAAATCCTTCCGGTCCGTTAAGTCCGTAAACCACATGCGACTCGGTTTAGACTTTCCTTCGGTTTAAAACATTAGCATATAAACAAATTAATGCATCCTAGGCTGTTAATACTCCATGATTTAATGTTTAAACCATCACATTAACCCAAACACAGTGGAAAAAACACAGTTTGAACCAAACAACACATAAATAGCTGCAGTACACACATAAGATCACAGAGCCTGCTCCCAAAACAAATGGAGCAGGCTCTAACCTGCCTAGAGCCGGCTCCCATAACCTTGGAGCAGGCTCTAATAGAGTGGGAGCCGGCTCTTTGCTTCCTAGAGCCGGCTCTCCCTCTTTGAGAGCCTTCTCTGCTTCAGACTTCTTCTCTGCTTCGTCCAGTTGCCTTCTATGTTTCCAGCGACGTCCAGTGTCCTATTCCAGACCTTTTTAAGATTTTTAGGGTTCAATTAAAGTTCTTAAATCCCTAGAGACTCCTCTTATTCCAGTGTGAACCGATTAACGAAAAGCTAAAACAACACACAACAGTTTATACAAGAAAAGCCAACTTCAGTTTAACGAAGCATACGAACAGTTTAAAGTCTGAAACATGTATCAACATTCTGTTTTAAAGTTTTCAGTGTTAAATTATAGTCCAAACCATCCTAGAAACTCCTTGGATTTCCTTACGAATTAATTTACAGAAGTCTAAAACCATAATCAACACAGTGTTATGCAAGAACTAATTTCAGTACTTTTAAACAAAAACATATTATAGTCTGGTATAATATGCATCAACCACCATGTTTTAACAGTTGAATTAATCCCTGGAGACTATAAAGAATACATAGAACACAAGTTTACAGGAAAGAAATAAAATGAAACTTGCCTTAAGATTCCAGTTTGAAACCTTCATCGCCATCTCTAAGTTTCAGAATTTCTCCAAGACTATTCCTTTCTCTACTCACTGCTTCAGTTCTATCTCACAGTAACCATACGACCTTCAGTTCCATAGCTGAAAGCCTTTCCCAGTTCTCCTTTCATGTTTTCCCTTCAACCTCTCTGTTTCTCTCTTTCTCTGGTTACGGGGAAAAGAGTTTTTGTTTTCAAACCCCCCTTGCAGAAAAACCACTTAGATATATATAGGCTCTATTACAACCCTAACCCTAATTCCACGACTAGTTATATGATGGCTAACTAATCCCCCTAAAAGAAAACCCTAAACCTACACTATATACAGCCAAATAAAACAAATAATTCATTTAAACCACAAATTAATCAAATAATTAAATTAACTCACAAATAAAACAATTATAGTTAAAACCACAAACTAATCAAATAATTAAATTAAAACAATTTCCATTCAATAATTAAATTAAACACATAAATAATAATTAAGTAATTAAGCAAATACATATAAAATAATTTCACCAAATAAAACAATTAATTTAAACAACTAAGTCATATAATCAAATAAAAATGAAATAAAAACCCAAATTTAAAATTAAATTCCAATTTTATCCTTTTAAAAACTAAGGGTATTACATTTTTCCCCCCTAACAAAAGGAATTCCGTCCTCGGAATTCATGAAACTCTGAATTAATGACTTTGCAAAATTCATTTCCGTTTTCGTGTGGCACAGCCATTTATATGAGCTCCACCAAATCCCAACACATCAAAAAATATCCAGGTTTTATGTGTAAAAACTCCCTAAATGTACAACTCCGAGGTTGTATCTAGCGACCATCCAATACTACCGAACATGTTAATGAAGGTAACGATCCCTATTCCTCCAAGTTCCAGAGAACAACCTCATAAAATCCCTATGCATCTAGCGCTTAACAATTTGGTAATGCTAAGCAATAGGCTACTGCCTAAATCGATAAAGAAAATCCGTGAAAAGTCAGCGCCATACGTAAAACTGACCTTCCTCCAAAACACATTGCTTCCGATACGGAAGACCTCCCAAACAACCATTTCCGAGTAGAAAACTCCTATATACGAGTTCAACTATCTACAAAATCCGACTATCGCCTCCAACCCGCGTGCAATCACTACCCAAAAGAGAGTACGTTTCTCTAATGTATCCTTAAAGAAAGACAAGGTCTTATTATATAATCTCGCCTCCATGCCAGATCAACCAGTGAGAGACCGATACAACATACTATCCAAAATCCCAAGCATTGTCGCACTAACCTCCTTGTGCCAACAATAGCACAGATAATAACAGACAAGCTAAGTACCGCTTTCAATTACCCATGCCAACCTAGGATATATATCCTAAGCATATTTGCTATGTGATCACACATTACATTGTGAACAAATTTCCCATCTAGGGATGTGAAGTGTAGTTGTTGCTTCAACACCTTCAAAATTCTGTTGATATAACAATGTTTAACCCCTATAAGAGGTAACCACATACTATAAATCCGTTATCAGTGCAATGTAGAACTGACACGACATGTCAAAACAAACCCGACACGTCAATCGAACTTACTTGATCCACGACTCTTAATCCATATGGAATTAAAATTCCAACCAATGTCGGTACTTTCGACCAACCATCCACTCCTGAGTAGTTCTACTTCCATGTTGATATAGGAAGTGGCTAAAACCTCCAATGATATCCAAGCCTCAATTTTCCACCTTGTTAGCAGGTGTTACCCGTAGAGATAGTGATATACGTGTCTCTATCCGTACCGCACCAAACTAAATTTGTATGTCGTGATGCAAATCATAACCATTTGACCGCACTGTAAAATTTTACTAATTTACATCTCAGTCACTCAGTCCTTCCTGGAATCAGTAAGAAAACTACCAATCCTCTTTCAGGACCCTAAACTCATCTGAGTATGGTACTACCTCCTGTGGGGTTAGCCCAAATATTCCAAGTTGACCGTCTCTATTTCCCTGGTAATAGCAAGTGTTATTATTCCCACGGGCTAAAATGCAACGGATGGCACAATAACCACCGCAGATTCAATTACCACACCAGTTGATACGATCTTCCTCCTCCCTATTACTTCCACAAGATGAAACTTAATGCAAATTGTGAACCATCACACCTATCCATCTAAGCCGTCTCGTGATCCGTGCTATGCGTAGGAACTGATATCTTTCCAGTTCCAAAATAGACAACATAAAGCTGATTTAATTGTAGCAGTCAACCAGAATCCTGACCCTTGTGTAGAATCAGCAATCTCTCATCTAGATTCGTCGAAACTACTCCGTCAGTCCTGCTCGAGTATGAGAAGTGGCTGCAAGGATCTAATGATCTCTGACGGTTCATCTCAATTATTTGCTAGATATCAGACTTTGAGACAAAATCACTATGTCCCTCCTCTGACCTACCTCCAAACATCTACTTCCCTTTGTGAAGTATCATGTTTCCTCCAGAACAAATAAAAACCAAGAGTTACAAACCTCAGTCCTTACATCCTCCTTCCAATTCGTCTAACGAAAGTATCGTTAGTCTACTAACACCAGCTTCTATAATTAGATGTTTGGCCTCACCTTCAATTTTTTTTTTTTTTTTTTTTTTTTAACACAGGTATGTGTCTACTAGACTTCCTGTCTAGCTTCGAGAAATATGAACTCGTTCCATCCTCCAATTAGTCAGAGATTTCCTAGTAACAACTAATTATTGCACTATGACCTAAAAAAAAATTTCCTCACCTTATTTGTGCAAATGAAGAAACTTTGCTTCCTTCTTGATATGGAACTCTGGTAACTTCTTCTAATGACACCTCCTCATGAATCAAATTCTTGATTTAAGAATAGACTGATGGGTAGTTAATCCGTCTACTATCCTTAGTCGGTGTCATCCTAATAAGTACTTAAACCAGTACCAAA